GCTTTCACTGAGGACATTTGACTTAAAAGCCATTTAAAGGGGTAGTTCACCCAAACATTTAAATTCTGTCATCATTTATTCACCCTCAAGTTGTTCCAAAACTGTATGAATTTCTTTGTCCTGCTGAACACAAAAGAAGATATTTGAATGTTTGTAACCAAACAGTTGATGGGCTCCATTAACTTCCATAGTATGGAAAATAAAATACTATGGAAGTCAATGAGGCCGTTAACTGTTTGGTTACAGATATTCTTCAAAATATCTTCTTTTGAGTTCAACAGAAGAAAGAAACTCATACAGGTTTGGAACAACTTGAGGGGGAGTAAGTGATGACAGGATTTTTGTTTTCGAGTCCCTTTAACAACATCTATTACAATCACTTTAAAACAATCCGTGAGGAATGAAACCAAACTTTTAATTTTAGGGAATTTTCCAGATACACACAAAAATTCCATATCAAAAGTACTAACGTTTAACCCAGTGGTTTTCAATCTTTTCAATGCCACAGACCCTCAAATATGGTCATGCTGATGCGAGGGCCCCCATCCTAAAAATGAAAAGGCAGCTACTGTATAAATTATTATAATATATAATAAAAAGTAAAAAAATATAAATGTGAGAAATATATAATAAAATATATTATAATGTAATGAAATTCATAAAATATTATTTTATTTATATAATAATTTGATATTATTATGTTACAGTATTATTATTTTTTATAGTTTTTACACTGTTTTTCTCTAAACTTTTCTACAGACACAAGCACTCCGCTGGTTTAACCCATGGTGAAACCCTGTTCTGTTTGTTTTCTAGGGGGACACGTCGGGCGATTACCGTAAGATCCTGTTGGAGTTGTGCGGAGGGGAAAAGTAACACATCTGGCACGTTCATTAGTGTGAAACGCTCTCCCTCACGCCTGGCCGCCGCATTTCAAACACATTCCTTGTTTGTAATACCAATTAAAAGCAAACAGTGACGTTTTAAATGAGATTTGTGATTTTTGTTGTTGTTTATTGCCTTGGAATTTATGGGAGCCCTTTATAGATTGGCACATCTTAGAGTTTGTCAAATAAATAAAGGGAGAAAAGAACAGCCCATATTGACTGTATTGATCTTTTGTTGTCTCTCTGGATATTTGTTTAATCTCAGCACACTCATTGAGGTCCATTTGTTTAATTACTCAGAGTATAATTTGTTTAATGTACAACATCTATGTGTACTCGGCCCAATTATACTAATTGCTCATGGTTGCTTGCATCGGCATATGAGATCTCATATGAGACTCTATTTCTGTGTTTTTCTAGATTCTAGAAGTCTCACAGACTACATGCCTCAATTTAATCAAGTGCATGAATGAATGAGAGGCTTGGTAGAATTATGGGGAAATTACTGACAAAAGCAGTGTATTTACACTTTTACCACTAAGTGGCACTGTGCACAAAATATTACATTATCCGTATTTTATTTTTGGACATATTTAAATACAGTTTTAAAAACATTTGTTATTTTTCTAGCAATAAACACTAAATGCTAAGACATAAAAAAATAAAACTGAATGACTTTATTTAAATCCTTTTTCTTGGTAGTTTGGTCATTTAAACTAAAAAATAAAATTGAAATGATTAGTTAACAAAAAACATAAATTGTTACTTAACTGACCAAATAAAATATTATTAAAAGCTAGTTGCCAAGGCATTATTTCTCATTTTCATTTAGTGTAGCTTATTGCACTAAAGTAACTAAAAATGAAAGAAAATAAATAAATATAGAGACATTATAAAAAACGAATAAAATTAACATAAACAGAACAAAATTACTAAACTAAAATAAACTAAACATAAATATGAATAAAAACCATAATAGTATCTCAATGATACTAAAATAACACTGATTTGAATACTGTTTGAATATTTTTTATTTTTCCAGCAATAAATACTAAAACAAAAATGTCAATTTAATGACTTTTGTTTGTTAGTTTATACTTTTTTTTTTAGTTTGGTAATTTAAAATAAATAAAACTACTCGAAACAAGTTAATTTTAAATTTTTAAACTTATGACAAAATTATGCAACCGGCTCTGTTGTATGATTTAAATATTCCTATACACAGAAAATGTTAAGACCAATTTATTTGTAACATATTCATGGAAAGTGCCTGATACAGCAGATAATGGCAGCCATGATGCCAGCAAACAAGTGTGTGTGTGTGTGTGTGTGTGTGTGTGTGTGTGTGTGTGTGTGTGTGTGTGTGTGTGTGTGTGTGTGTGTGTGTGTGTGTGTGTGTGTGTTGGAAAATTCACTCTCAAATTTGAATCAAGTCTATAATCTTGGGCGTGTGTGTTTGATCAAAGAAAGTGTTATCTCGAGTTAGCTTGTGTTCAGATTGTCTGGCCCTGCAGATGTGTCCAAGTTTGAAGATTTTTGTAGTATCAGAGATGGACCAACATGGGAAGACTTTGTTCAAAGATTCTACAGTGGAAGACAGTATGGAAACCAAACATCCTGACATGCGGTTTGTAAATCTCCATATTATCCAAGCAGCCGCTGCGATCACAGCAACTCTGACAGAAAGCGCTCTCTCTTTCCCGGGCTAATGATGGCCCACAGCATAAATCTCTACCACTTAAGGCCATGCGATTTTTCCCAAGATTTAGTAGTCAATTTGGAAGAAAGTTTCTGAATTTTTTTATCATCGGAGAACCAAAGTAAGCCAGAGAAACAAACCCACTCCGTGTGTGTGTGTCAGCCAGTCAGTCATATTTATTTATAGAGCACATTTAAAAACAATAGCTGTTGGCCAAAGTGTAAAAAGGTATCCATAAAAACAGAAAACAACAGATAAACAATGCAAAAAACAATACAATACCACAACAGCCACTTGTGACCATAAGCAGCAGTAAATAAGTGTGTTTTAAGCAACGATTTAAAATCAGTGCAGTCTTTATATAAGATGGCAGATTGTTCCAAAGCTGTGGAGCGGCCACTGAAAATCACGATCTCCTTTTAATTTTAGACGTGTCCTCGGAACAGTCAGCTGTAGACTACTGGTAGACCTGAGATTTCTAAAAACATTATGGTGGGCTAAAAGGAGATCAGAGATGTATGAAGGACCCAGTCCATGCAATCCCTTATAAACAAACAACAGTGTTTTGAACTCAATACGATGTTTAACTGGAAGCCAATGGAGAGAGAACAATACTGGCGAAATATGTTCTCTTTTCCTTGTTCCTGTTAGCAATCCAGCAGCAGCATTTTGGACCAGTTGAAGACGTGACAGAAGGGACTGTGAGACACCCAAGTATAGTCCATTGCAGTAGTCTAATCTCGATGAAATAAAAGCATGTATCACAGACTCCATGTCTCTGGGTGATGAAAATGCCTTAATTTTCGCAATATTCTTTAACTGATAAAAGCAACTTCTGACCACACCATTGATCTGTTTAACAAAAGTCAAAGCAGAGTCAAAAATCACACCCAGATTTTGAACATGTGTATGGATATTGCCAGATAAAGGTCCCAATTTACTGGCGACAACCTCTGTAAACTTCGATGAGCCAAAAAATCAAGACTTCCGTCTTGGAATCATTTAAAGGTGAACTAAGTAACTTTTTTACCTTAACCGAACAGCTTTGGAGTCATTGTAATGTTTATATTACTGATTTCGTGTTGAATGGTGGTCGTCTCGCACCCCCCTGGTGCCTGGGAGCCGCAAAACCACCCTTGCAACTTTGGGCCGGCGAGCCGCAGTGGTATGATACATTATACTTGGTAAAAATAGTATACAGCGGAAGCATGTATAAGGAAAATAAAACAGGACCCATGATCGAGCCCTGCGGAACCCCATATGAAACTGGTGCACGAGGTGATAAATAATTGCCTGTCTTTACTGAGAAGGTTCGATCCTTTAAATATGAAGCAAACCAATTCAAAACACAACCTTGGATTCCGATTTGCTGTTAACGAATTAAAAGAATACCATGATCGAGAGTGTCAAATGCCGCGCTAAGATCCAGCAGAATTAAAACAGCACATTTACCAGAGTCGACAATCAGATATAAGTCATTTAAAACTTTAAGCAGTGCAGACTCTGTACTGTGTTGTGATCTGAAACCAGACTGATATTTATCCAAAACCACGTGTGTGAGAAATTGCGAGTGGCAAACTTCCCCTGAGGCCAGAGTCCATCAATGTCAAGCTGTGCTGATCTTTAACATGTTCCCAAGTCAGTTTTCTGTACTGAGCAATTAAGACGGTTTCGGTAGCCTTATTAACATGGACATCCCGACAAACCATATGCCATTCTGTGATATTTTCCCATAAACCCGCTCTAATAAACAATCTGTCAAAATGTAAATCGAAAATGTTGTGAAATGTTGTGAAACTCAGTCAGAAGCAAATTAATGATGGGTAATATGTCTGACAAACAGAACGGCATTGTAGCATGACCATCTATACGCTGTGAATCTAGAGTAAACAAAACTTAAACTAAGATGCAACAACACAGGAAACAAGCACCGTCCTGTAACAAAGTGTAAAGAGAGTAACAGCTTTGTGTTGTTGGTTGATTCAAGAGTTATAAAACACACTTTAAAAAATTATATTATCAATAAGTTATGACAACATATGTTTTTACATTGCTTTAAATCATCAAAATAAGGTAGGCAATTTTCAACTTTTTAATACATTATACAAGCTCATTTTTTTAAGTCAGTTTAATGTAATTTAAGTTGAAATGACTTAAACATCCAAGTTCAATGTAGGCTACTTAAAAAATGTAGGCAGCTCTTCTTTTTTTTTTTACAGTGACTATAACAGAAATGCATAATTGCAATCTTTTTTGGCCTAATTATTTAATGAACAATGACATTTTTGAAAGCAATGCTCTCATTCACCATGTGCAGTTCTGTAAAGGCCATTCTGCCACAGGAAGTTGACAATACACGGTGCCTGCCACAAACCACACGTCCTGCATCCTTCTGAACATAATGTTCACATATATGTAGGCATGGGAAGGTGCGCGGAGCAAGAGTGAACGGTAATGGAAGATAAGAGTTTTAAAGTGGGGTAACTTCTCATCCAGCGTAAATTAATCAAGATAATTTGAGAGAGGAAGTTCCTTTCTGGGTAAGCTGGCTGAAATTGCTTTATTACTTTATATCAGTTGGTTTCATTTCAACACGGAAATATTTGAAATAGATATGTAGCAGCAGCTTTGCTTTGGTGTAAATATGATGCATAAAATGCAGAGTAGTGCATTAAGAATTGAATGACATTAGCAATAATGGAAATAGCTGTAAATACCAAGTAAATTTTGCAATAAAAGCCTCAAAATATGGCAAAAAATAATGCATTATGGGTCAGGAGGAGGTAGTCTGAATAAGCTGGCTGAAATTGGTTTGTTACTTTATAAAGGCATCAAACTTTCCACATCAGTAAGTGTCATTTCAGCATGTAAATACGTTTTTTGACATAAGTAATCAGCAGCAGCTTTGTTTTTGTGAAGTTATATTTCATAAAATGCAGAATAGTGCATGAATAATGAAATAATGAAATTAGCACAAATAATACATTATGGGTCAAGAGGATTTGTGATCATCCCAAATGACCAGTCTGAAATTGCTTTATTACTTCATAATGCATAAACTTTCCACATCGGCCGGTTTCATTGCAGCAAATATTTTGCAGCTTTGTTTTTGTGACCTTATACTGCATAAAATGCAGAGTAGTGCATTAGCAATTAACTGACATCAACAATAATGAAAATCGCAGTAAATATTAAGAAAATAATACAATAAAATCAATAAAAAGTCAAAAATATGGCACATATAATGCATTATGGGTCATGTGATCATCTTAAATGACAAGAAGTCTGAGTAAGCTGAAATTGCTTTATTACTTCATAAAGGCATCAAACTTTCCATGCCGGTCTGTTTCATTTCAGCACATAAATATGTATTTTGAATTAAGCTGCTGCTGTGTTATATTTCATAAACTTCAAAGTAGCACATGAAAAATATTATGACACAAATAATGCATTATAGGTCAGAAGGAGGGTCAAGAAGTCTCTCAAAGCTATATGTTAACAAACAGTTCTCCTACTCAGCGAATGCTCCTCCTCCTAGTGCATGAAGACAAATAGTCTTGCCCAGCTACTTAACTTACAGTCTGGGAGTTTCCACACAATTATCTCTCATGTTTATAAAGCCTATGAACTTTCGAAAATGAGCAAGCCGCTGATATCTCCATCTCGATGGTGAAAACGTTCCGTCGTTGTTCTTAAACGTGAACTCACCTGGAATCTGTTTCTTGCAGGACATTAACCCAGCACGCAAAGGAAGACAGAATTTTTTTTTTTTTGTTGCATTTTGGGATTGACCAATCCATTGTCCATTTCTCTTTTTCACTGAAAGCTTCCTCTCAGGATGAACGTCACCAACTCCAGCCTGGTTCCCTTGCTTGTTGTTCCTCTGGCGCTGGTCATCTTCCTCACGGTGACGGGGAACCTGCTGGTCATCCTGGCTATTGCTCGCACCTCTCAGCTCCACACAACCACCAATGTCTTCATCATCTCCATGGCCTTTGCGGATCTCATCATGGGCTGTGTGGTCCAGCCCTTGTGCCTCAGCATGGTGGTTAGCGGGAAGTGGCTGTTGGGCAAAACGGTTTGCGACCTGTGGACGTCCGTGGACGTGCTTTGCGTCACGGCCAGCATCGAGACGTTGTGCGCCATCGCCGTTGAGCGCTATGTTGCGGTCACAAGACCCCTCGAGCATCAGGTCCTCCTGGGCAAGCGCAGAGCCGTCTACATCGTATGCATAGTGTGGATGGTGTCGTCCCTAGTTTCCTTCGTGCCAATCATGAGCCATTATTCTCATGCAAATACCACCGATGCGCAAGACTGTTACAATAACAAAGAGTGCTGTGATTTCCATACTAACCAGACCTATGCCATCTTCTCCTCAGTGGTGTCCTTCTATGTGCCCCTCGTGATTATGGTGTTTGTGTACGGGAAGGTGTTTGCCATCGCGACCAGACAGCTGAAACTCATCGAAAAGGACAGACTGCGCTTTCCGAGCACAGGCATGGAAGATTTTAGTGAAAGTACAGTTTCTGGAAGCAAAACAGCTGGTGGTTATAGGAGGAAGTCCACGAGGCATTATGTAAAAGAACACAAGGCGCTCAAGACACTGGGGATTATTATGGGCACCTTCATTTTGTGTTGGCTACCCTTCTTCTTGTTCAATATCATCAAGGTCTTTAATCCCAGTGTGCTGTCACATTTCGTGTTGCTCCTGTTGAACTGGCTCGGCTACGCCAATTCAGGCCTGAACCCAATCATCTACTGCCACAGTCCCGAGTACCGTAACGCCTTCCTGAATCTCCTAGGGTGCAAAAAACTGGCAATGAGGCTAAATCATGACTCCATGCACAAACATCTACAGAGCCTCACCTCATACATCCAATGCAACAGTTCTGTAAGGATGGCTTGCTTGGGTCACGAAGATCCGACTGCAGAGGGTGGGAACATGTGCTCTGACACGTGTGCAGTTCTTGAAGTGCAAGAGGTAGAAACACAGCCTCCCAATGACTGAAATGTGGCACGGATCAATGTAGAAGAGACTTTTAAGGTAAGGGTGAATAATGTGAATGATGCCTCAACCCGTTCAAGTTGGTGAGGTGGGGTGTGCTAATACTTATCTAAGTGACTGGATCTTCACCTTGAGGATGATCAAATGGCTGGGGGAAAAAATCCCATTAACATTTAAAACACCAAGAATCCCTAGAAACTGCATAACAACATGCTAGAACTACTCAGAACACCTTATACCAATCCTCTGGCAAGCATTCGCAATACCCTAGCATTACGGCATTGAGTTCTGAAGCAGCACTCACATTATCTTCTGAATATTCTACACATTAACTGATGCAAAAGACCCCCAAGCTATTTATTCCTCCTTTACAGTGTGATATAAAAGGTGATATTAAAAATAAAATTATAAATGATATGTTAAAAAAAACTCTTTCACTGTACTGAAGCCAAGAGCAATGATTAAAATATGATCTGGAAAATATTATGATTAATAATAAATAATTCACAATAATTTTCCATTAGAATTATTGGTTCACAATAGAGCAGAAATTTATGGTTTTGGTTTAGTTCAGTAAACTAGGAAATAAAAAAAGTTATAGTAAATAATTTATTTATTTATTTGAACTAATGAACTTTATTAGGTAACACTTTATTTGACAGTGTCCTTGTTACATTATGTTACATGTACTTACCATAATCCTACCCTAACCCTATAGTAAGTAGATGTAGTTAATTATTATTATATAGTACTTAAATATATAATTACACTGTAACAATGACACGTTAAAATAAAGTGTAAGTACTATATGTACTTGGTAATAACAGTAAATTATGCATAGTTACAAGTAACTAACCCTAAACCAAACCCTAACCGTAACTCTATAGTAAGTACAATTACTCAGTACTTATCTGAGTAAGTACAATAAAGTACAAATAAATGACCTTAAAATAAAGTGTAACTCTAACAATCAAGCTTATCTTTGAAAAAGCCACAAATGAGACATTCTCACGCCAACTGTACCATTTCCATGTGGGTGGTGATTGTGGTTTGTCAACTTATCACTTTCACATTCGTTTGAAAGCGTTTCACTGAACTTCCTCTTTGATGAATGGAATGCACAGAACAAAATAACTAACATCTCTAACTCAAGCTAATAAGACAAGTGTACTCAAAAGTGAACTTAAAAATGTTATGGTCGTCGGAGGCGATGGCCTCGTGGGCAACATGAGTTGGAGTCCCGGCTTGGGGACCTTTCCCTCTCTCTGCCACTTCACTTCCTGTCAGTTCTCTTCATATCTCAATAAAGGCAAAAAACAATAAAAAATAAAACATTATGGTCATATTCAATACAATTTGACATGTGCACAAAAAAAAAAAAATCAATACAATTTGCTGACAAAACAAACAAGCAACCACACAAAAAGTTTTTTTTTTTTTTTTTGGTGGCAATGCTTCTCAGAATTATATGGGTCACAGCTTGCCACATTGTTTCCATGTACCATCCTGGATCTCGAGTACGACGGTGATGATTACACAAATTAGGACATAAATCTATACCTCTTCCTCTCCAACAGAGAACCAGAGAAGCAGCCTTCAAGATTTGTCCCACAATGCATTTCATTCCAATCTTGATAGATGTGAAAAGTACTTAGCAAGATTAAACCTCTCATCCTTTACCTCATATCCTTTAAAATACTCCTTGGGTGATATCAGACCCTCAAAACTGATTAGAACAACACAATTCAAGATGTTTCTGAAGTGGCTGAAATGAGTTGGCAGAGACATTCGTGTGTGTGTGTGTGTGTGTGTGTGTGTGTGTGTGTGTGTGTGTGTGTGTGTGTGTGTGTGTGTGTGTGTGTGTGTGTGTGTGTGTGTGTGTGTGTGTGTGTGTGTGTGTGTGTGTGTGTGTGTGTGTGTGTGTGTGTGTGTGTGTGTGTGTGAATACTTAAGGGTGGATCTTAAGTGTTCATGACCTCATTAATGTGAGATAATAATAGGAGACTAGAGGTAGTGCTGTGACTGTTTCATGATGCTGGAAAAGGCCTTGAGTGCTTACGTGATGAGCTCATATGTGTTGTATTTTAATCTTTTGTGCATCTAAGCTTCTTTTTTTTCATTCATCACTATTTCAAAATAAAGGTCTTAACACGCCAACCTTAGGAGTATGAAAATATTTTTGTTGCAAATTGATAGATTACGGCTCTTCTGTAATTTATTTTGAACATCAAATATGAAAACTACAGATTGAAAGCTTTCAAATGATATATAGTTTGTCAATATTAGTTTAGGTTTAGTATAGGATATTACTGTTTTAAATATGTAATGGCTATGGGGGTCGGTGACACTTAAGGTTAAATATTACCAAAAAAAAGATGGTTATGAAAATGTAAATATATGGCTATTTTTGGGGAAAAAAAAATTCAACAAGCCATACCTGTCAGTCATGATTTTATAAATATAATTGTAGTACAACAGTCTGTACAATGGGTGAGTTGTGCACCAAAATGAAATAATTAAAGTTTGGGAATGAGCAATAGCTTTAGCAAGCACAACTAATAAATTATTAATATAATCGAAGAACTGAGTATACAGTACAGTACAGACAGCAGAATCTGGCACACAGATTATAATATTTCTGGTCTGGATCAGAATTATGGTTCAGTTTGTGGTTGTTTTAATCAACAACATATATCTTATGCCACATGGGATTAGACACAGACTAGTGTAGTGATTGAAAAGAACACTTTGAGACACTGCAGACACAAACACATCTGAGAAACATCCCAGCATAATCCCTCTGATGTCACAAAAGACGTGTGTTGATAGAAAAATACATATTATGCGCAAACAATGCACATATAAGTACCAGGGCACACAGAAACACACGCACTAGCTCTCTGTTCTCTTACAGATCAAATGTCTAATGATTTCATAATTATTTTCCTCCCACAGGGACATTGAAGATTGGAAACAGATCATATATGCTTTTCAAGGGAATCAACTGTACTCTAACGTCATGCTGTTCAAGCGGAGCCCGGCTGTATTACATTCACACCATGTGCGAAGGCAAAATAGACCAATTTTCATAGTAAAGCAAGAAAGCGGAACAATTATATTGAGAAAAAAACGTGACATAAAAAATGATCACGCAGAGAGTTGTTTTTGAACATCTGATTGAAAGTCCTAACATGCCATCTCTTTACGTTACAAACCATCAGAAAAACAAACAAATTTGTTGTGCATATGGACAAAGTTTTTTTCAGTCCAATTGGCCCTTCAGAAATGAATTTGAATGAAAAATGCTCAGGGTCCAAAACATGAGTAAAGACTGCCATTGGTGATTAAATAAATTAGAGCCGCTTGCCCATTGGTCGGAAAAATAGGAACATAATGAGCACATCGCACAAGCATGTGCTGCCAGTGCCATATAGTTAGTTCGGATATTTTTCTTCATCATTTCAAATAGCTCCAAAAATGGTGCTAAAGAAACATTTCCAACCTCAGCGGAAAAATTACCATCGGTAAAGGATGATTGGAATTATTCTTTTTCTCCAGAATCACATGGAATATTCCTTGCAATAAATCACCAAAATGCACACGTGCCACAATGACTGGCCAAAAACAGACAAATCATTCAAATAAAATGAAAAATCATGGCTGGAAGGAACTTTTTATGGTAATTTTTTCATCAGCAGGTGTGGCAAAGCATTCATTTTGGACGCTACACGCACTCTGGAGTGGATCAGCTGGCTGTTTTGTGCCACACATCTAAGCATCTGTTTGATTTCAACAGCCCAGATAAATGCAGTGCCAAAGATTTTGGCTTAAAGGGTTAGTTCACCCCAAAATGAAAATTCTGTCAGTAATTACTCACCCTGAAGTTGTCCAACCCCGTAAGACTTTCGTTCATCTTCGGAACACAAATTAAGATATTTTTGATTAAATCTGAGAGCTGGATCACATAGGCTTCTTAAGGGATCGAAACTGACCGGCCCAAAAGATATGAAAGACATCGTTAAAATAGTCCGAGTGACTACAGTGGCTCAATCTTTAGTTTATCAAGCGACGAGAATACTTTTTGTGCGCAAAAAAACTAACAAAAATAACGATTTTATTCAACTATTAATTTCCTTCTCTGTACGGCCGTGATATTTCACGTAGTGAAACTACGCAAAGCTTCTAGGTTGTACGTCACGCATCACACACATGACCAGCGTCGGCCAATAGTGAGCCTACGTGTGACGTGCAACACAGAAGCTTTGCGCAATATCACTACGTGAAATATTACGGCCGTACAGAGGAGGAAATGAATAGTTGAATAAAGTCGTTATTTTTGTTTGTTTTTTTGCGCACAAAAAGTATTCTCGTCGCTTGATAAACTTAAGGTTGAGCCACTGTAGTCACTCGGACTATTTTAACGATGTCTTTCATAACTTTTGGGCCGGTCAGTTTCGATCCCTTAAGAAGCCTATGGAGGAGTGATCCAGCTCTCAGATTTAATCAAAAATATCTTAATTTGTGTTCCGAAGATGAACGAAAGTCTTACGGGGTTGGAACAACATGAGGGTGAGTCATTACTGACAGAATTTTCATTTTGGGGTGAACTAACCCTTTAAATGCAACTACGGCCAAACAAATCATGACAATTGAACAGTTGCATGTCTTGCTTTGGGATATTGGTGTTTTGATCAAATGTGAATGCACACTGGCATTAGTGGTTGGTGGTGAGGACAAACTTCTATTCATCTTCTGATCAGAGCACCGCGAGTCGCCTTTTCTTGCTTCTTTGATCCTGACTGTCACTTTTATCCTCACAAAAAACCTTGTACATAAATTTGAAGCAGAATGAATAAATGCATGCACTTTGTAATATGTTTACAAAAATGTATATATGTCCAAAGTCTTCACGTGGAGTGTTTTTCATGGAGCAATCTCGAAGAGCTACGTGGAAATATTTGATTTTCGAATAACAAGCTGTTTCTTCACATGTTTTTATCAATTCAAATCAGTGGCATCACAAGGGAAATGAGTCATTTTAATTGAGTCTGTTCTCTCTGCTTGTCATTGTCTTGTGGAAAACATCAAATGCATTAGTTTGATAAAGCTCAACTCCACAACTATTCAAATGGTGGAAGCATTGTAATTAACTGCAATCTCACAGAAGGTCAGAACATCATTTGCAACTTCTGCTTTAGTCTTTTCCAAGGCTGTTGTTCTGACACATCAGTCTGAAGTGAGCATCCTGAGGTTTTATTTCAAAATGAGATGCAAAAATCTGCGAAGGCAAATGCGAGCTTGATCCCACTGACAATCAATACGAGGACCTTAATATAAAAAACACTGTTATTTTGCTGAATAATAATTTTTACCTTCTGGAGGTTTGTGCACAGCCGGCTAGTATGCTAATGCCATGAAAAAACACCTGCCGGAGGAACAATATTCGTATTATTTCTGGATGCACTGTAAGTACTGCTTGCAATATAGGGATTTTCTTTATGCAAAATATGCAGAACTGAACAAAATACGATATCCCACAATATGTGCATTATATGACTTTCCATTGTATGTGTTATGAATGAACTGTAAGTAAAATCAGCCATGTTTTTCACATCTTTTGTTTAACTTATTAATTTGATTTGATTGATTTTTCTTTGCCGAATTTTTTATTTATTATTACAATTCTGATTAAAAATGCAAAATAACTGTATTTATAAAAATCAAATAAAAAGATTTAGAAGAACTATACAATATAGAAAGGTAAAGTTTCACATACCTTTGTTTTTATTATTGGTAGTATACAGGCTACTGTTCATATGCAGAACGCAGTATGATATTCCATTCTCATCTGAAAGTGTACATGAGAAGAAACACACTGACAACTGCAACTGTGAAAAACTTACCATGACTTTATCCGAACTGTCCTGAATTGATTTGTCATGCTCATGCGTAATAAAGTTTACATCCCTGAAATTTCAAAGCAATCCTTTATTATGAGTGCACTCTAAGATAGCCAAAAATATAGTTTTAGCATTAATCATGAGCTATCATATGATACTCTTCCAGCATCATATGACATGAGTGCTACTGCTACTAAAATAGGCCAATGGTTGAATCACAAGAAAATATAAACAGCATTATAAATAGCATCAGCTTTCAAATCTTGCAGAGTCCATCAGGATTGGCATTGCAGTTGCAGCAACTTAACAGAGGGAATAAGGTCAAGAATTTAGAAAACACACTTTTGCCAACCTGCTTACCATAAGCTAACTAGTAGACCTGTTAGTTACATTACAAACACACTATTTAACAATAGCTCAGCTTTTTAGATACACACTGATAAAAATGATTCTGTGGTGAAGTAAATAGGCTACTAAAAGAAATTCTACATTAAATTCCCATCATGCATTGGGCATAAATAAATAAAAAGTTCATTTTCTTCTCAAAAACGATCCATCGAATGTTACCGTTATTGTGTACGAAGTAGGGCCCTGAAATCCGTTTTCTTATTTCCCAAATTCTATTGTATTTCTTTCCAAATTTAAATTAATTATAAACTTTTTTAATCCAAAAGCAAGTCTAATTATTTGAAATCATGAAACTTATACTATTTACCAGGAATTTATTAAAACTTATTTTTAATACATTTTTAGGTGATTTTTAGGGCCCTATGAAATACATTTTATTTTTTCTCAAATTTCATTTTATCTTTTTACCAAATGTTTTCCGTTTAAATTTTTCTGGATTCCATTTGAGTGGTTTAATTACATTTTAATAAACAAAAGCATGTCTAATTAATTGAATTCATAAAACAACTTAATTTATATATTTTTTTTATATTTAGTTTTTATTAGTTTTTTAATCTTTTAAAACTTAGTCAAGTAGATTTTACTTAATTCTACTAGGTATATGTGAAAATAAAAAATCTGCGTACAAAAACTTGCAGGAAAAATTAAGTACATTTTACTTATTGTTTTTTTTCAGTGCAGCTATGATGAAATATGAGGTTTAATAAACATGAAATGTGAGGTCGATAAATTAATTTACACTTAATGTGAGATTCAGGGGCGATTCTAGGATTTGCAACGATTTCAATATCGTTGCATGGGAAGTGATTATCGGATGATCGATCAAGAGCATCCTTTAAAAAGTCATTATTCTTTTTTTTTAATTCTTTTTTTTATTATATTTATTATAGTATTTTCAGTTTCACAGACAAATAAACACTACAGGACAGGACCAAAGACAATACACGCATAAACAACCACAACAACAACAACAACAACAACAACAACTCCTTCAGTTAGATTGAGGTTTGCAGTTAACCACAACACTAAGCATAGGCAAGGGAGGTCAAAACTGATTTTTGCCCAACGTGACATTATGGATAAGGTGAAATTGTACAAATGGACCGAATGAGATATATAAAATACGTAAAAATGCGTTAAAAAAAATCATTATTCTTTTAACTCTGTTTCCTGATACCAATGCCACTAAAAAACTTCACCTTCAAACTCTAAAGCAGCTTTCCCATTTCTTTCATTATGATTATACGCTCACCTAAAGAATTATTAGGAACACCTGTTCAATTTCTCATTAATGCAATTATCTAATCAACCAATCACATGGCAGTTGCTTCAATGCATTTAGGGGTGTGGTCCTGGTAAAGACAATCTCCTGAACTCCAAACTGAATGTCAGAATGGGAAAGAAAGGTGATTTAAGCAATTTTGAGCGTGGCATGGTTGTTGGTGCCAGACGGGCTGGTCTGAGTATTTCACAATCTGCTCAGTTACTGGGATTTTCACGCACAACAATTTCTAGGGTTTACAAAGAATGGTGTGAAAAGGGAAAAACATCCAGTATGCGGCAGTCCTGTGGGCGAAAATGCCTTGTTGATGCTAGAGGTCAGAGGAGAATGGGCCGACTGATTCAAGCTGATAGAAGAGCAACTTTGACTGAAATAACCACTCGTTACAACCGAGGTATGCAGCAAAGCATTTGTGAAGCCACAACACGCACAACCTTGAGGCGGATGGGCT